AACTCTGCACACTTCTTTTTAAAAACTACATGATATAAAAATACCTTTCTCCAGAAAGTAATAATTGCTGCTTTTGTTTTGACCACCTATTATGTGACAAGATTAGCCCTTTGTGTTTGTTGATTTTAATTTCTACAGCAATTTTTAGATATTATTATCTGTTTTTCAGATGAAGAAACCAAGGTCCAGAGAAATTGACTTACTAGCCCTTGTCACAGTTGGCTGTGATTAAGACCCAGGCTCATGCAACCTCAAAGTCCGTCTTCCCTCCACCACTCTGCAATCTCTTTCTGCGATCACTGTGCTAATGGAAACAGTCTTAAAACTTTATTAATTCATTTGACCAGAATTTTTTCAATTCCTATTTGGGGCATAGTACTTTGTCTGTTTAAGAGTGTGCGTATGAGGGGAAAGGCATTGGTTTTCACAAGCGGACGCTGATTTCAGTATATTTTTCAATTGCCACTTCACCTTGTGTACTTGTCTGAGTTGTCTTATTTGGAAATATGAATGGTTTCACTTTACTATGAGAATTAATGGTATAGGAGAACAGTCATAGAGATATTTATTTATTTATTTGTAAGCCATATATCATGTTCCACCTCTATGAATCCTAAGTGTACTATATCTTGCATAGTTTTAAAGAGATGGCACTTTTAAATTTTTTCTGCATGAATAGTCTATTTGCATTGCTGAAAATGCAGAAAGGCAAAATGAAAACAAAACCACCATAAAAATCATCATCAAGAGATAACATTGGCTTATGTTCTTCCAAATATGTGGTTAGGAGTGGTATATGAATGTATGTTTAAAGTAAGATTTTAAATTTTGGGATTTAGAACTTCGGGCATCTATGTGTGGAGGAATTGTCAGAAGGCCTTCCTCTTCCTTGTATCCCTACACTGTCACCTCTGCTAGAAATCTGGGTGCAGGAGACCTACAGAATTTATCCCTGGCCTTAAGATAGCCTGTTTTTATTCTTAATTCCTTATACTTTAACTGTAGTTTTTAGGATTACTAAGCAGCTCTACCTTTACCAGCTTTGTCACTCACAGTACTTTTTACAGTGGAGAGAATTTGGATAAATAAGGAAAAATAACTTGAAAGGGGCAACTGCAAAGTCTATAGGCAGATACAATTTCTAAATAATAATAAAAAAAATCAGTGTTTCATTTCACACAAATATTTTAAGTACCTGCTAAACTGAATTTGGCTGGGCCACTTCCTGGGAGAGCACATGTCTAGCAGAGAAGGCAAATACGTAAATAATAAAACATAATAATTTTTATAATAGAAGAATGACTGGGTGACATTTTGGAGCAAGAGATGACTATCAGGGAAAGCCAATGATGCCTTTTGAGTTGGGCTTGGAAGAATAGTAGGCATTTGCCAGGTGGTCCTTAAGGTGCTTGAGGAATTCTTTTAGATGACCTCACTTCCTACTTCACAGACAAAATAACATTGTGTGGAAAGTCTCCCTCTCCCTTCAAACGTACTGTATTCAAAAGTCCGCTGACCTCTTTCTAGATTCAGAAGAAGAGGTTTCCTTTTATTCAAGGCTGACTTGTCACTTATACTCTATTCACTATCCCATTTATATCATCAACCAGCGTGAGTCTTAAACCCATATACCAGCAGTTCTCAAAGTGTGATTGGGGTCCCTGAGACTCTTTTCAGAGGTTGGTACGGTTAAAATCACGTATGGGTAAATGACTTATTCAGAATGCAATGGATTTTAATGTGCAAAGTTCACTGATGCAGCTTCAGATTCCACATTGCAGCTTACCTTTGGGAAGTCATTATTTGTCAAGTTTTAGTGTAGGATCAAAGTACTACTTTGTGGAAGTCTATTAACTTACTCCTTTCTTTTCCAACTATATGTCTGTGTTAAGCTGGATTTTCTTCATATACATCATCCAAAACAACATATTGCAGCACATCGAATGCAGAAGCAGATATGAGAAATCAGTTATCTTCTATTAAGTTAAACATTAAAGAGATTTGCAAAAGTGTAAAACAAAGTCACTCTTCTATTTTAATAACATGATTATTTTTATTAAAATATATTATGTATGCTAACATGTAGCACATTTATTATTGCTATTTTTAAATGGATTAATAAGTAATTTAAAAAATTCTCAGTTTCAATGTCTAATACAGTAAATATAAGTTGATATGTATAACCAACATAAACAAAGGCCCTTTGGAGCCCACAGTAATTTTTAAAAGTATGAAGGGTCTTCAGACCAAGTTTGAGGATTGCTGCCTTCTCTCTCTCAGTTTCTTTCTCGCTCCTTCCCTGTATAGGCAGACTTCTGGGAAAAGACATTTTTACTATTCAGTCACTGTTCCACTTACAACTGTTCTTAAGTCACCAGTGGCCTTCTGTTTTACAGATCTAACATACCCATCAGCGTTTATTTGATGTCTCTGAGTCTTTTATACCAACCTGTCTGCCACTCTAGAAATCTCAAGTATGTTACTGTCCTGGTTTTCTTCTGACCTTCATGACTTATCAATACTTTTTAAAGTTATTCTTTCACTTCATTTCTTCCCATTCTATACATTCCTAATAGGCAACCTCATTTTTACTTGTTGCTTCAACTATATTTGCATCTATGCCCTCAGTTCATATGTGAGAATACTTACATAGTAAGCATTCTTTGCTGAAACTTCTTTTCTAAATTCCAGACCATAGTTGGTGCCTGCTCCCCTAGATGGTGCTGGAGGTAGGTAGGTAGGTATTTCACATTTAACGTGAGCCAAAACACCCACGAATTATCTTCTTTGTTCTCTCACTCTCACTTTCCTCTATCTCTGATGTCTCATGAAACTGTTTTGATCTGTCCTAAATCTTTGAGTCTTTTTCTTCTCCATCCCCTGACCTTATACTTTTTTCATGCTCCTATTTCTGCTCACCTAGGTTATTGTAAAAGTTTTTAAACTGGTTTCCTTGCCTCAATATACATCCCTTCAATTTTTTATCCAGAGGAATCCACTTAACCAAATAAGATAACATCACTCCTTAAAATCCTGAAGTGGCTCCCCGGAAACTTTTAGTATACGTTTAAGCTCCTTGTCTTAGCACATGAGGCACATGATGATTTGGCCCTGCCACCTCTCAATGTGCATCCTATGGTCCATGCATAGCAAACTCCTTGCCTGAACCTAACCCATGCTCTTCCGCCTTTTCCTATGCTATTCCCTTTGCCTGGAACTTTCTTTTGGGTTTATCTTCATTCCCTTTCACTCATCCTTCTAATCTCCCACTCCAACCAAATCTGTCTTGATATCCCTACTTCAGACTGCCTCTGCTTGACGCTCTTCTCTGGGCTCCATATCAGTGAATATACCTCTTGTAACATTTATCATTCATTGTAATTGTTTGTATCCCCTGATAGGCTGAGGAGCTTGAGAACAAAGATTTTCTTTTTCCTTTGCTCGCATCACTTAGTTTAAAGTCTGACATAATTGCTGAGTGTGTGTATAAATGAAAGGGAAGGAATGGTCTTTCTGGAAAAAAGAATGACACAAACAGTGCATTGAGTTATAGAAGCAAGGTCATGAGGCATGAATTTTGGAGTCTGATCTTTTACTTACCATCCTTGTGAAATACAGATGTTAAAATTGCCTTAGTCACTGAAAGGATTATGTGAAATATGTAAATCAGCTAGTATAGGACTGGACAATAATTTATTCATCCCTAAAATGAGCATGGTTCCTAAACTCATGGAACTTTATTGTATAAGGGGCGTGCCGGCCAGCCGCAAAAAAAAAAATATGGTTACAAATACATTGTGCAATGATAAAAAATAATCAGGTAGACTGCAGGTAGACCTACATAGATGTGCTGGCCAAGGAAGACCAAAGAGAAAAAGTGACTATTAATATAGGAGCCTAGGATACAGAGATACATTTTGCTTTTTAGTCTTATGTTTTTGAATTTTGAACCATATAAATATTTTATTTACTCCAAAAACTAATTGTATTGTATTTTAAAAATAAAAATATATAGGGAAGCAGAAATAACTGACAGAATAGCTGAGTCTATTTGTGTTGATTAATTGAAAGGAAACATCATTACCCACTGAGAATGAGGGATATGGAGAAAAATAAAAACCACATGGAGAGAAGTAAAAGTATGAAATAGTCACTAAGAACACAAGTGAAAGGATTAGCAGCAATGTTGAAGGCCCCGTGGAAAGGGGGTTTCCATAAATTTGTATTCACTCCAGTCTGTTCAGTTATCTTGTTCTATAGCTAAATTCAGTAGCTCTGGTGAACAAATAAAATTGTGAGATTTATTCCTGGCTGCAGCTCTCCAGGGTGGAGTAGCAGAAGAAAAGGGGGATCAAGGAAATAAAGGTTCTGTCTACAGAGAAGTTGAAGTGGTGAATCACAGGGTTTGGCTTAGTAGAGAATGAACTGTGGTCAGGCAGATCTCGATCTCTCAAGAAATGCGGAGGGGTCAAGGAAGAGCATGCTATGTGAAAGGTACATGGAAGGAACCATATCTTTTAATGCTATGTAAATTAATTCAGTACACCTGTTTACTTCTACCAAAGAGTGTTGCATAATCTTTAATAGTAAATAAGTACTGATTGAGAAAAATATTTTATATTGAAAAGTAAATCTTTTTTTATTAGTAGACTTGATTTTTCAATATGCTCACAGGAAATTTTCTAATAAAGTAAAATTTTTGCTCCTTTGTGTAAATTTCTCTTAGAAAATATCAGTGTTGGAAAAAAGTTCTCCAATTTTTATTGATATTTATAGGTGGAAAAGAAAGAAAACCCAGAGGACAATTAGACAAATAAATTATAATTTTAATTTCTTCTTAGGATATCACTAGTTGACTTTGGAGTGTTCTTTTATTATGGCACAATCAGTTACCAACATTTCATATGATATAACAAAGTATGATGTATAAGCTTACAGATAACATCTCTAAAATTACTGTAAAATTTTAATAAGAATTTTCCATATTTTAGAAATAGAAGATGAGCAAACCTGTAACACCGTCAACATATGTGCGCTGCCTCAATGTTGGACTAATTAGGAAGCTGTCAGATTTTATAGATCCTCAAGAAGGATGGAAGAAGTTAGCCATAGCTATTAAAAAACCATCTGGTGATGATAGATACAATCAGTTTCACATAAGGTAACTAAAATTCTTTTTCTTTTTAAATTCTTACATCACAATCTAGAATGATTAATAAGTATAAATATGTCTAGTGTTGCAGTTTAGAACATGAACCTCTCTACTGCAGAAAAGATCATGGTAATAAGTATCTGTTTTTTTTTTTTCCCAATTTCTGCTTTATTCTCCAGTATGTCAGCTGGGCTAATATTGTGATCCTTGCAAATAGGTTTTTGGGTTAGACTCAAGATTCCCACCTTTACTCTGGTTCTGTGTTTGGCAAGCCAAGTACAGTTCACTCTACCTCATATCCAGATTGAAGGAATATAAGAATGATTTAAGAATCTCTAGTAAAATTCTGGAGCCTAAATTTCTAAGTGTGTCAATTTCTAATACACTGTAACAATGTTTGGCGAGTTCTTCAAATTGACATTTTAAAGTTCCTGCTTGTAAGTGTACACATCTATGAACAGAATTCTTAGAGTTTAGCCAGGTATTTTTCAACGCTATCTTCAGATAATTTCCATTCTTCCTCTTTCGCATGTCTGTTTGATATGGTGTGAAATATAAGTGCAGATTTTATTTTTGTCAGTCACTGCAGTTAAAACCTATGTCAAAATGTGTCTTTGGTAGCAAGAGGAAAAGAAATTTTGATTTTCAGCATTAACCTGGTGCTTTGGCTTCCATATTAGTCCTTCCAGGAAATGTCTTCTCATGTGAAGGGCAACGTCTTAAAGTACTTGAAAGAAGCTCAAGTTTAAGCCTTGAAAACTAATTTTTAAAGATTGTTTGATGATATTACTGTTAAGAACTTATGGAGGGCAGTAGGGACAGTAGTGGTAGGAAGAAAAAGCTCTTCTTTACAGAATAATGCCAACAAATAATTATTAAAAGAATGATAAAGTTACCAATTTACAGCCACCATTAGATAGTTGATTCATAAAAGGCTAATCAGTAAGACTAAAAGCATAAGGTGAAAAGTTGTTGATAAACTGGGTAAACACAAGATTTCAAAGGTCTACCAACAAATAACTTAGGAATTTTGAAGTGGAAAGATATTTTTATAATGAGGAAATCTGAAGTATACCTTCTACACCAGGTGATCAAACTGACACAAGTAACAGTAGTGGAAAGATATTTTTATAATGAGGAAATCTGAAGTATACCTTCTACACCAGGTGATCAAACTGACACAAGTAACAGTAGTGGAAAGATATTTTTATAATGAGGAAATCTGAAGTATACCTTCTACACCAGGTGATCAAACTGACACAAGTAACAGTAGTGGAAAGATATTTTTATAATGAGGAAATCTGAAGTATACCTTCTACACCAGGTGATCAAACTGACTGTCACAAGTAACAGTACAAAATGACATTGTGTGCTTCTGGATGTGATAGGGCAGGAAGGACACATTATTGGCGATGTAGTGTTCTTACCAAAAATTTTATACTGAATTTAATCATAAGAAAATAGTCTGATAGATCTAGACTGTGGGACATTCTTCGAGACATCTGGCCTACACTCTGAAACACACACAGACCCAGATTGACACGGAGCACGGGCAAGACTGCAAATGTGGCAAAATGAAATCAACTGGTCAGCTGGTGAATCTAGGTGAAGGGTAAACGGTTGTTCCTTGTGTAAATCTTTCAACTTTTCTGTAAGTTTGAAAATTTTCAAAATTAAAAATTTGGAGGAAAAACAGAAAAAGCTATATTGGTTAAGTTTTTAAATGTTACTTTTCAAAACAAATTTTTAATTTTAAAGAAATGGAATGAAAAACATGTTTTTCCTTCAATTTAATTGAAATACAGTTAAGATGAAAGGAATGATTTTCTAAGTTTGTGTGTATTCTATTTACCTACTTAAGCAGACTGATGCATTAAAAGTTATATAACTAGCAGAGTTAATAAGTTTGTGGGAAGTAATATGTCAAGTGAGATCTGAATTTGAATCTCAGCTTGGATACATCATATGGCTGTGTGGCTATGGGCTGGTTGCTGTAGCTCTCCAAGCCTGGCCTTCTTATTAGTAAAATTAGTATGATAATCATAGTATCTTTTAACGAGTTCACATGTGTACATCCTGTAGTCCACTGAGTAAATATTCAGTAAGTACTCAGTAAATGTTAACTTTTATCATCATCATCTTGGCATCTTTTTTCCTTCTGTCTGTCTTTCCTGTCTATTTATAATGCTTACTGATTCTCTTGCCGTTCCTTTCCTTTACTATTATAGGAGGTGCCGTGAGTGAGACAGGGATGGGGGGATTAATTCCTATTTTCACATGTACTCAATTTATATACTAATTTTGTTTCTTTGTTACTTGCTTTAAAGGAGATTTGAAGCATTACTTCAAACTGGAAAAAGTCCCACTTGTGAATTGCTATTTGACTGGGGTACGACAAATTGCACCGTTGGTGATCTTGTGGATCTCTTGGTCCAAAATGAGTTTTTTGCTCCTGCGAGTCTTTTGCTACCAGGTAAACTGCAGGGTGTCAACGATTAGGGTGAAAGGACAAATGCCAGAAATAGAAACATTTCTTCTTTCTTACTCTTGCATTTTTCTCATAGTAGAGGAACCTTACATTTGGAAGTTCCTTTTGTTCTTTCAGCTCTCCCCAATTCTTTAACAAGTGCCCCAGACATAGGAGACTGTGGGCTCTGCTGCTAAGGTAGTAGAAGCTTCATGTTGAGTCTGATCTCATTAAAGTCAGGTAGTTTGGGACCTATAGGAAGTTTAGGAGGATATAAACTTCAGGCATCTAGTTTAGGCTGTAAAAAAATTACTCATCTTTCTGAACTCTTGCTTTTTTTTGCTTTCAACTTCCACCTGCTGGGACTCTATGATCATGATTTCCTTACATTGTATTTTGGTGTGTTAGTGTCTAATTACCTTCCTTGTAACCTTACTTTCTTTCCTTTGATGCCATTCACACCAGTGATTCTCAGCCTTTATCGTGCATAAGAATCACTTGGATTTCTTGTTAAACATGTAGATTCCTGGTTACTCTATTCCAGACCTACTTAATAGGAATTCTGGAATTGGGGTCAAGGTCTATGTTCTTAAACAAGTACTACTTCATACCTCTGATGCAGGTGGCTCGTGGACCACTCCTTGATAATGCTGCCAGACCCTCTCTACCCATCCTTATCACAATTTACAGATTCTTTCTAGGTAGCTTCTTGTGTGTACTATGAGAATATAGGGCCAACCTGTGGAAACTGGAATGATATTAAACAAACCAAGTTCCTAGTTTAAATTTTTTACAAACTCTTTTTCTTATGGAAGGACAATTTGTATCTTATTTCATTTGGCAGATGCTGTTCCAAAAACTATTAATACATTACCTTCTAAAGAAGCTGTAACAGTTCAGCAGAAACAGATGCCTTTCTGTGGAAAAGACAGGACATCTATGATACCTGTGCAGAATCTTGAACAAAACTGTATACCACCTGACTCCTCAAGTCCAGAAAATAAAAGTTTAGAAGTTAGTGATACACGTAAGTAACATTTTCAGTGTTTTCTACTAGTGGATGTGTTGTTAAGACTATCACTGCTGTATTAGTCCATTTCTGTTGTTTATAACAAAATACCTGGAACTGGGTAATTTATAAAGAAAATGAAATTTATTGCTTACAGTTTCGGAGGCTGGGAAGTGTATTAGTCCATTTCTGTTGTTTATAACAAAATACCTGGAACTGGGTAATTTATAAAGAAAATGAAATTTATTGCTTACAGTTTCGGAGGCTGGGAAGTCTAAAGGCCAGGGAACACATCTGGTGAGGACCTTGTCCTAGTGGTGACTATAGCAGCTCAGAGTATCATGTGGCAAATATGGTAGAGCAGAGAGAGAGAGAGACTCTAATGTGCTCTCCTTTTAAAGTCCTCAGAGCCACACCCCTGATGATCATTATTAATCCATTCACTACTGCACGGTCCTACAGTCTAATCACCTCTTCAAGTCCCCTCTTTCAATTACCATAATAGGATTTTCCACCCTCTTTTGCACTGTCACAGTGGGGACTAAGTTTTGGGGTGGCATCAATCCACAGCAACTACTTTAAAATAAATCTCTTTTTCTTTTTTTGTGCAGCGATTAGAGACACACTGACAATAGCTCTTTTGTGGGTTTCTTCCCTCTTGATTTATTAAGTACCTCCTTCATTTTATTGATCAATGTATTATCAGTGATTAGAGGCAATAGGACACGCAAATAGCCACAGAAGCTACAAAAAAAAATAAGCAAATATTTATATAACTTGAAAGGGTCATTTTTTAAAGAAAATATGTGACTAGAATTTTGGGTGGGTGGCTAGAATATTTGGTGAGTAAGACTGCCAAACAGAATTGTGAAGATATAAAGCTTACAATTTGTATTTTAAAAATGGTTTTACTCTCTCCCATCTTGCCTTATCCAAAGATATAAATATTTGCATTTGTATGAAATCTTCTAGTTGAGAAAATATTGTAATTATTAAAACCAATTTCTTTTTTATTTAAGCACTTTTTTCTTATTTTATTGACAATATAGGTTTTCACAGTTTTTCATTTTATGAATTGAAGAGTGTCACAAATAACTTTGATGAACGGCCTGTTTCTGTCGGTGGTAATAAAATGGGAGAGGGCGGATTTGGAGTTGTGTACAAAGGCTATGTGCACAACACAATGGTGGCAGTGAAGAAGCTTACAGCAGTAAGTCATATTTTCAGGAATAGAAAGAATAAAAGGAAGAGTTGTTTCCTAGTGTGCTGTACAATAGCTTTTAAGTTAACCTTTAGGAAATACATTATTTCAGTTTGTATTTTCTTTAAATAAGCACCATTAAAAGCTCATAGATATTAACATTTAAAAATCTGTAGAAAGCTATTGACCCTATCCTTAGAAAAATGCAATTATGTGCATATACATACAATCATATGATCATACTTTTGAGGACACTTCAAAAAGTTTGTGGAAATTTAGAATTAAAAGGTAATATTGGGCCGGCCCGGTGGCGCACTGGAGAGTGCGCCGCTTGGGAGTGTGGCGGCACTCCCGCCGAGGGTTCGGATCCCATGTGGAGACCGGTTCCCGCTCACTGGCTGAGCGTGGTGCAGGCGCAACACCGAGGGTTGCGATCCCATTGCCGGTCCCCGGTATGGGCACGACACTGAGGGTTGCGATTCTGTTACTGGTCAGTAAAAAAGACAAAAAGGAAAAAAAAAAAAGGTAATATGGATCTTTCCATGAACTTTTTGAAGTACCCTCCTATAACTTTAAGAGATTCAAAAATAATGTTGAGAAGTCCTGCTGTACACAGTGCTTCATACGTAATCAAGATTAAAATGGTAAGATTCTAAGATCATTTTATGAAAATACCTTTGTTCCCATTTCTATTGGGGTGCTCACCTTTTATTGATTCCTTATATTTTAAATCTGTTCTATCCTAAAAATGTCAATGGAATACATATGTATCTTATAAATACAGTCACTCTTTGTCATATATGCTGAAAATACTTTTGCAGGTTTTGATTTTCTTTTTGCATTCAAATTTGCTTACATTATTGGTTATACATAATTTTTAAAAAAAATTTTATGTGGTAAAGTCTCATATGAATATTATTTCATTTTGTTCCTGCAACAACTCAGTGAGGCTTGTATTTTTTTTTTCCCTTTACTAATCAGCCATGAGACCTTGAGCAAATCACTAATATTTCTAGATTTCAGTTTTCTATAAAATGGGGAGAATAATACCTTATTATTTTAAAGAAAGGGAGATCAGCCCCCTTTCAGCATTAGGAGCCATGGGATAATTGTATTGCGTTATATTGAATAATAATATTTTTTATTTTTTCAGATGGTTGACATTAGTACTGAAGAACTAAAACAACAGTTTGATCAAGAAATAAAAGTAATGGCAAAGTAAGTGTTAATTTGGCTGTGTAGAATAGTGCAAAAGAACAAGACAAGGTATAAGGAACCTGGTTTCTTACCCAGAGTATGCCATAAACTATTGATATTTGCAAATATATAAAATTTAAATAAAGGGTTTAGATTAGAGGAATTTAAAGTACTTTTGCCTCTACAATTCTGTGACTACATATACTCATATACTTGTAGATTGAACAGCCATCAGTATTTTAAATTGCAACAGAGTTTCATGGAATTTCAACCATCTTCTATTATCATGTTTTCTGCTCCCAGAATCCATGAGGGATTAATTGTAGAGATACTTAAAAAAAACCAAAACTATTTATAGGGGTCAGGCAGGATGGCTGCTGTAAAGAAGGGTGGTGAGAAGAAGAAAGGCCATTCTGCCATTCACAAGGTGGTGACCGAGAATACACCATCAACATTCACAAGTGTATCCATGGAGTGGGTTTCAAGAAGCATGCCCCTCGGGCACTCGGAGAGATCCAGAAATTTGCCGTGAAGGAGATGGGGTCTCCAGATGTGTGCATTGATACTAGGCTCAACAAAGCGGTCTGGGCCAAAGGAACAAGGAATGTCCTATAACGTATCCATGTGCAGTTGTCCAGAAAACATAACGAGGATGAAGATTCACTAAACAAGTTCTATACTTTGGTTACCTATGTACCTGTTATCACTTTCAAAAATCTGCAGTCAGTCAATCCGGATGAGAACTAACTATTGATTGTCAAATAAAGTTATAAAACCAAAAAAAATTATAGAATAATAGAATGTAGAAAAATAGGCCCTTAGATATAAGTTAACAACCATAAAGGAACTAGGGAAGTGTTGTATACAAGGACACTTGGAAGATATTGACCCTGTATGCTGGGAAACTGTTACAGATCATCAGGAAAGGTAGAAGGAACAAATCAGGAAATGTATTCTAATAATTATACACAGTGTGTTTGATATGCCAGGCACTGTGCTATGTACTTTATGCACATTGTCTCATTTAATCCTCACAACAACTGTTGCAACCTCCCTTTTATTTTTTGACTGAGATTTAGAAATGTTAAATAACTTGCCCAAGTTCATAGAATCAGTATGTGTTAGAGATGGGGTTCAAATCCAGATCTGTCTGATTCCAGAGCCTGAATTTTTGATCTGAATTCTAATGAGATTTAGCAAATTATGCCCATTAGACCCATCGCTGTAAATCACCATTTCTAGTTACTTAACCTCAAGAAAGAATTAATAGAGTGGAATTGATTCATGCATAGTAAAAAATTATGCACACTGAAAAAAAGATCAAAACTCTTTTTTCCCACCATTTATTCTCCCACTTTCCAATCCTAAAAGTAACTTGTTCAAAGTAGATAATCTGGGAAATACAGGAAAAAAATTTTAAATAATGAAAACTGTCCCTTTAACACATCACTCAGAGATAACCATTGCTAATATTTTGATGTACTTGCTTCATAATGTGTGTGTAGCAGTTTTTCCATGTCTTTAGAAATAATTGGAAAACATTTAAAATTATTCAGCATTCTAGCATATACGAGGATCATATTTTATTTAATAATTTCTCTAGTAGGTTTGTTTCTAATTTTTGATATTACAAATTAAAGCTCCTTTAAAGTTCTTTGTACATAAATCTTCAAATACAGTTCTACTTATTTCATCAGGATATAGTCATAGAAGAAAAATTACTAGCTGAGAATGCATGAATTTTTTAAAAAAACTTTCCAAATACAAGTGTACTTCAAAGAGTTTGTGGAAAAATAGAATTAAAAAATAATATGAATCTTTCATGAAATTTTTGAAGTATACTTATGTATGTCCAAATGGCTTTATAAATAAATTATGATGATTTATATTCCTACCAGCAGTATATTACAATTTCAAACTTTACTGCTACTTCACCAGCATTGAATATTATTACTATTTTTAAATAAGTGCCAATATGTAGACCTTACTAGCAGAATGACGTTGGCCAAGTTTCTTAACTCTCTATTCATTGGTTTTCTCAACTGTAAAATGGCATAATAATAGTACTTACTACATTAAGTTATTGTGAGGATCAAATGAAAAAAAGCAGGTAAATTACTTGCCATGGTGCCTTGTATGTAGTATAAACTCTGCAAATGTTAACTACTTGTATTAATCCGTTTCCGTTGCTTATAACAGAATATCCAAAATTGGGTAATTTATAAATAGATTAAGTTTATTTCTTATACTTTGGAGGCTAGGAAGTCACTGTCCAGGGAACACATCCAGTGAGGGCCTTCTGTCTGGTGGTGACTACAGCAATGCAGGGTGTCACATGGTGAGAATAGGCTGAGCAAGAGTGAGTAACTTTTTCACTCTCTTCTTACAAAGCCATGGCAACCAGGCTCATTACTCCATGAGTGGATCAATCCATTTATGAGAGCACAGTCCTCACAATCTAATCATCTCTTAAAGGCCCCACCTTCCACCACCACATTGGGGGTTAAATTCCAACATAAGCTTAGGGATTCAAACCTTACACCTACTCATAATTACCATGTGTCAATTTGATGGAAAATGGAGCATTTATTGCTTTAATTTGTGCTTCTTAAAATATTTATGAGGGTAGAGCAACTCTGATTAGATATAATGAAATGCCAGAATTGTAGATCATTTTGAATGAGCAAAATGAATAAGCACTGAATGGAACACTTACCATGTGCCAAGTACATTTCTAGGCTCTTATATGTATTTACTCATTTAATTTTCACAGCATCCATATTACATGATAAATATTATTTTCTGCATTTAGCAGGTAAAGGAGCTGAGGCTTAGTGAGGTTGTTAACTTGCCATAGTCACATATCCAGGAGGTTGCAGAGCTGGACTTTAGACTTAGGACTTTGAACTCTGAGCCCTGTTTTCTTTCTTCTGTACTACAGCTGCCTGCAGTTTTGTTGTACTTCAGCTCTCTTTGGTTTTATTATTCTCAAGTACATAAAGAAACTTAAATTAGGTTATAAATAATCAGAGGTGATTAAAGATCACAAATATACAAATTAGATATGATTAAAGTTCATGGACCATGTCTGTCAATCATTGCTTTGGTTGTGGTAGAGAATCCTTGAAAGTGTTATCATGAAAGTTTCAACAGACTTCTTGAAATCTTGTTTGTGCTATTGTTAAAAATTGTGCTAAACAAAGGTAAGCGTCAGCCTGGTCTTTAACAAAACTAACACAAGTTTCAGTGATCTGAGTTATTGAGCTTTTACTATAAAATAGAGGTTTTGCTTCTAATGTTGATCAGTATTGACTGAAAAGAGAACTATTTACAGAAAATTAGAAAAAGTTACAACAAACATAAACATATGTCATATTATAAGTGATAGAGAACATACTGTTTTCTTGCATTTTTCTGTTAAAACTGTAAATTGAATAACTTTCAACCTACAGCTGGATTTATATGTGTTTATTATAATAATTTTGCATGGAAAATTCTTTGTCACAGGTGTCAACATGAAAACTTAGTAGAACTACTTGGCTTCTCAAGTGATGGAGATGACCTCTGTTTAGTGTATGTTTACATGCCCAACGGTTCATTGCTAGACAGACTGTCTTGCTTGGTAAGGTATTTGTTCATCAGGTTATTTGGCTTTCTGTTTCTATGTTGGAATTCTAATATTTACTTTATGATGGGATCATTTAAACCATATTACAATTTATATTTTTCCTGCTCTATGAAAGTCATACAGTCGATATGTAAACAACTGGGATTGCCATTCTCTTAGGTGATAATCTAAAATGTAAATTATCAGTCAAGGCTAGACTTTGAAGATTCTCTTATATATTTTTATCTTCAAATAAGAAATGCGAATCCCTATTTGATCTTATTTAGATATTATTTTTAACAACTTAAAGAAAATTGTAGTTCTAAATTCTGAGTGATATGATACTGTTTTCAGCTGTTACCTAGAAAAATATTCTGTTATACATTTTCTGTAGATTTTTTATCCTTCTCTCTTTTTGTTCATAAGGATGGTACTCCACCACTTTCTTGGCACATGAGATGCCAGATTGCCCAGGGTACAGCTAACGGCATCAGTTTTTTACATGAAAACCATCATATTCATAGAGATATTAAAAGGTAAATGCTACTGTTAAAAAGCTTTCGGAAAGCCATCCCTAAAGAATAATTTGCTCTCACTCTTTCTATTCACTTTTCTTTTTTTTTTTTTTTTCCTTTTTTTTGTCTTTTTTCATGTCCGGCAACAGATCGCAACCCTCAGTGTCGCGCCCGTACCGGACCGGGACCGGCAATGGGATCGCAACCCTCGGTGTTGCGCCTGCACCTCACTCAGCCAGTGAGCGGCTGGTCTGTATGTGGGATCCGAACCCTCGGCGGGAGCGCCACCGCGCTCCCAAGCAGCGCACTGTAGCAGTGCGCCACCGGGCCAGCCCTTTCTATTCACTTTTCGAATGCATATCTTAACCTAGTGTGGACTTTTTTCCCCGTCACTCCATGAAGGCTCTTCTTACTGAGGACATCTGTAACCTCCTGTATTCCAAACCCAGTGACCTATTTCCCTTACTCATTCTACTTGATCTTTTGTGTTTTTTAAATAGCATGTTATTCTGTTATTTTTGAACACTTTTGCCTTGTGGAAATTGGTTTCTTTCTTAGTTTCTGGATCATCACTCTTTCTGAATCACATCCATCCTCCATGAGTACTTTTCAGTTCTCTGTCTTCTAATGTAATTATCTAGTTAAATATTTGCCTAATGTTAGCTAAGCACTGTAGATGATCTAGTTAGCAAAGTAGCATATTGTAGTTTGACATCAATCAAATAATCCCAAAATAATAATAGAATTTTAGGATATAGTGTTAGTATAAAGAAGGGTTCCCGAGGAAATGATATTTAAGCTGAGATCCAAAAATGAGCAGGAAATGTGTCACAATTTGAGGGCAGCTATAGGAGATGAGGAAAAGAGTATTTGAGGCAGAAGGAACCACATTTGTAAGACCAGTGTTGACAGGGAATATGGCAGCTTGAGGAGTTACAAGAAGTGAAATAAATGCAGGGTGACTGACGTGTATAAAGTGAAAGGGTGGTGATGTGAGATAAAACTATAGAGATAGGCAGGGAGCTAAGGCCTGTAGGACCAAGGAAAGGATTTTAATTTTATCGTAAGTGTAATGAGATGCCATTGAAAATTATAAGTAAGAATGTGGAATCATGTTTAAGTTTTGTGAAGATCACTTTAACTCCAGTATAGAGAACAGTTTGTGAGAAGGGCTGGTTAGTAGGCTATCACAGAAGTCTTGATGGTGACAATTCACATGAAGAGAACTGCATAGATGTGAGAGATTAAGACAGCAGGACTTGCTGCTATCTTGGCTGTGGAGGGGTCAGGGAAAGGGAAGTATCAGGAATGATTCCTGGAATTATGGCATCCAGAATTGCATTCTGGAATGATTGTGGTATGATTCATTTATACAGAAAAGACTGAAAGAGGACCAGGTTGGGGTGGGGTTGGGGAGCTGGGTGAAAAATGTGAGATCTCTTTTGTACATGTCGTATTTGAAGTTCATTTAAGATATAGACGCAGAGACGTTAAACACAGAGTGTGATATACAGATTTGGAGCCGAATGAAGTCTAAGCTGAAGATACAAATGTGTGTATTACTTGTATTCAGATGAAAATTGAAGAGTTATCATATGGTTGTATTCACTTACGGAGAGATATAGATTAAGAAAAGTTCCCTAGATTAAGTCCTGAGGAACCTTAAAACTTAATGACCAAGTATAAGAAAATGATCCCAAAAAGGAATCTGAGAAAGTACTCATACACAGACAGGTAAGATGCAAACCAAGAGAGTGTGGTGTCCCTGAAAACAGAGAAAGTGTTTTCCAAGACAAGAGGGAGTCTTCAAAAGAGTCAAGTGCTTTAGCGATTGGATTAGCATCATGAAAGTCATTAGTGACTCCACAGAGACCCATTTCATGTAGTAATTGGGTTGGGAAGTCAGGTTGTAGTTGAGGAGAGAGTGGGAGCTAGAGAACCGAGATGTGAGTGTAGACACGTCTTTTAAGACGTTTTGCTAGTGACGGGCGATAGTTGGAAATAGATGTGTCATTCAGGGAACATTTTAAAATGGCAGAGACTAAAGCATGCTTATCTGCCTATGGGAAGGATCGAGATAAGAGGGAGAGGATATGACAGAAGGGAGAAGTGAAATAATTTATAGAGGAAAGTTGCTGAGAGTGTAGGAGGGAGCAGAAGCAGAAGCAGAAAGCCTGGCCTTAGCTAGGAGGAAAAATACCATCTCCCATCCCTTACGTACTGGTATTCTATCATGTTCTTACCTCATTCTTTTGTTTTTCCCTACATGGTTTTTGCTGAGTGATATTATGTTGACTTTAACTGCTTTCTACGTGTGGGTAGCTTTCAAATCTGTATCATCAGCTTCCAATCCTGTATTTTCAATATCCCCATACCAAAAACACCTGAATGTCCCATAGAAGCCTGTAGTGAACATGTCCGAAATCAAACTCATCATCTCTTCCACCCCAAAGTTTTCTTGCTGTATTTCCTTTCTGGTCAAATGAAATCGCTCTTTATCCTGTCTCCCATGCTAAAGACTTTCTCATTCCCTGTATTATAGTAATTACAAAGTACTGTTGCATGTGCCCCAAAATTTGCACTTCCCACTTGTCCCCAGTGCTCTGCCTCTGTTTGTCACTCATTATCTCTCATTTGCTTTATTATAAACCTTGCTAGTCAACCTAAAACCAGTCTGTACCAGTTCTCATCTGTTCACTACAACACTGCCAGGTTATAGTCCTAAAAGTCAAGTCTCGTAACATCAGTTCCCTACTATGAAAACTTCAGCTGGTGTCCTGTTACTCACAGAATGAAGTTCATATTCTCTCATGTTCCACGACACTAGTTTCTTGAAATGGATCTCATACACCATGCCTTCATGTTTTCATCACTTCGTACATATTACTCCATTCACCTGAAATTCTTTTTTTTCCCCTCATGTAACTATTACTTAAAACAATCCTTCAAGACTAAGCACACTTTTCACCTTCTCTTTGAAATTTTCTCCAGTCCTTCCAGGCACATGGTTGTTCAGCATTTTGTACCTAATTGCCATTATGTAAACTTACTTGTTTTTTAAAAATTGTATTCATATGCCTTTGTCACAGACAGGATTCTGAGATTCCTTCCATGCCCAGCACTTAGCTTTAATACTATAAAACACAGGGAGTTCTCAATAAGGTATTGTTGAATGAAAGTATGAATGTATAAATGAATGCATATAATTAGTGAATGAAGATCTTTTAGCCATATTCTTTCTTCTTCAAAAGACTTTAGATAGTACCAAAAAAAGAATAGTTTAAAGAAATGAATAATTGAGATACTTCGGTTGGAAATTTATTTTTAAACAAATTAAGAAATATTAAAAAAGGAATTAAGAATGGTGTTTTGGAAGACTTTGTGGGAAGTTACACTGTAATAAATTACGGAATAATGAAAATATCTCTCACTAACATGGACAGTTTTATTTTATTTTTATTCTCCTAAAATTTTTTCTCAAGAAACAAAAAGGAAAAGAAGACAACCATTTCTCTTTCACTGTAGTCTGAATACTACATCTATTTACACAAATTTCAGGCTTTTATGATGTATACTATAAAATGGCATACTCTATAAATGTATACATACACACACACACATACATATGTACATCTATCTAAGGAACTATTTGACTTCCTTGGGAAGAAAAACATGTTTTTATTCCAAACTTTAAATTTTTTCAGTGCAAATATCTTACTAGATGAAAGCTTTACTGCCAAAATATCTGACTTTGGGCTTGCAAGGGCTTCTGAGAAGTTTGTGCAGACAGTCATGACTAGCAGAATTGTGGGAACAACAGCTTATATGGCACCTGAAGCTTTGCGAGGGGAAATAACACCCAAATCTGACATCTACAGTTTTGGTGTGGTAAGTTCCATGTATATAACAATAGTCATTCTGCTATAACTGTGAAATTGAAGTCAAGTATTTTTAATCCACCTGTCTTGCTTAGCTCTCTTATGTAGAGATATAAATTGTTCACATTAAACTCTAGTTACACCAGAAAGTTTATAAAAACTTCTCCCAACATGTAAAACTTTTGACTTGATTTTTGAAATTACTGCTGGAAATGATTTTCTTGCCATGTATTCTCGTGAATTAATATAAAGATTAAATTAAATCAGTACATTAAATAAATCATGTCATACAGTGTATACTTCAGTCTCACTTTCTTTTGGCATTTTCTGATCTACCACACTGTTCCTAATAACTTTTAAGGTACAGTAAGGGGTAGTTATGGGTAGTTTGAGAAATTCGGGAGCTTTTTTTTATCTTATTTTTTCATCTGTGTTTCATATATGGAAATTTAACCTCATAGCACTGTGAAGTTAAGGAACAGGTTTGCAGAATACAACTGATGTTTAGAAAATAATATTCTAAGAGCCAAAGAAAAGTGTTCTTGTAAGGATTCCCCTGTGAGACAGAAGGCGGATTGGGAGTTCTTAGAACACATGTTGAGTGGAGCTGATTCTTTAATAAGTTACCAAGAGAAAAGAACTGTTTATGGGCATGGCAGGATGCAAGGACCATGAGAGAAGGGTGGTGAGCCCACAGCTCATGTTCTTTCTGCTTTAATACTAAAAGACCTATGCTGTGTATGGAAATGATTAATCAGTTTTCATAATCGAGATACTTTTTCCTTCTAGTTTCAATATGTTGTCTAGAGAGTTATATTAATGGATTTTTTTTTTGTCTTCATAGGTTTTATTAGAAATAATAACTGGACTTCCAGCTGTAGATGAACATCGTGAACCTCAGTTATTGGTATTGAATGACTAATTTTTTCAAACATGTTGCTATTTTTGTTTGTAGTCTAAATTTATATGGGTAAATTTGGCATCTAGAAATGGCATTTTCTGTTGGCAATCTTACCATTAGCAATTGCATGGTGGCATATAGAAAGAGCATTAAATATTTCTAATCTCAGCTCTGCCATGAAGTATTGTGAAGCCTATAAAAGTCACATATTCTTTGTGGGTAAAACGAGAATATGTCTAAATGATTTTCAAGGTCCTCTCTAGTTTATTTCTATTTTGTTACTTTCAGGGTGGTTACTAGCAGAATTTTCAATTTAGAAAAATATGGCTTCTGTTCAAATTTGTATAAGAATAGAATTGCAAGTAAAAGTTCTCTGTCCATTTCTATTATGGAACATTTTATTTATAAAGTTATCATAGAAAACATCTAACTTGTCATAGTAGACATTCATTGACAATTATATGAGGTAGATTAACTGAATGCTAACTAACTATAGGAAAATTATGCCCTTTTTTTCCTACATAGTGAATTTTAAGAACTTGGAGGATCTTTTTATAAAATTAACAATTTATGGAAATACCTACTATCATGTATAAGTTTTTATTAAAATTAGTTAAATAACTACACTGACTTTATTCTAACTTATGTGTTCTAATGGGATAAACCAGTATGACAGATTGAGACAATATACATATACCAGATGATATCCCTCGAATGGGGATTAGAAAGTCAAATGATGTAATTTATTTGCATTTTTTTGTCTGGTGCTATCCTCTTTTGAGAAAAGCCTTAAGTAAAATATCTATATGTTATAATATCATTACAGGGGTCCATTATAAAACTGCATTTTAAAACTGTTCATGGGGGCCGGCCTGGTGGTGCACTGCTACAGTGCGCCGCTTGGGAAGCGCGGCGGCGCTCCCGCCGAGGGTTTGGATCCCACATACAGACCAGTTCCCGCTCACTGGCTGAGCGAGGTGTGGGCGCAGCGCCGAGGGTTGCGATCCCGTTGCCGGTCCCGGTCCGGTATGGGCGCGACACTGAGGGTTGCGATCCGTTGCCGGACACGAAAAAAAAAAAAAAAAAAGATAAAACTGTTCATGGTATACTGGAATGTAATAATGCAATATTGCATGCAATGTAACATTTCACATGACAATATATTTATAAAAGATAATATTGTGAAAAGTTATTATTTTAATAATATTTAGATTTTTACAGTAGCACATAAAAGTAAAATTTTGTCTTAATCAGAGAAATAAAATTCTCTGACCCATGGGTTGTTGGAGGTCAGGAGAGGAGCCTGGTCTAGAGATACAATTTTTGAGCCATTAGTGTACAGCTGTAGATAAAGCTTTTGGTGTGGATTGGATTTACAGAGAAAGCATATTGATTTAAACTTCAGGAGGACAAGGAGAAAAAAAGGTATGGAGATCTAAAGTGGAACCAAATGTTTCACTAACTTGCAGCTTCTGCTTTTTAGTTAAGGCCTACCTGCCTACAGTACTAAATATTCCATCCTTTGCCTCACACTTTTCCCCTTCAGGACATATAAAAGCCTCAAAACTTTGGCTTGAGTAAGGATGAAATACAGAAAAACACAGGATCCATTTCAGTCACAAATTTTGCACTTCATCATGCAATAATGAAAATTGTAAAACTTCAGAGAAGTTGTTTACCCATTCATAAGGTTTGAATGTAGTATGACTATGGTATGACCATAAAGTATGAAGATTTTAATACAAGTACAGCTAAAAGAGAGTGATCTTTTAAAGAGCCTTTATACCACTAGATTCTGCCATTGCTGTTTTCTAAATTCATCTTTTGGAAGGGTTTTTGTAGTTTTCATTTTACCTCTCAAAGTCTTTTCCGCCTGTATTAGTTTCCTAGGGCTACTACCATAAAAAATTACCACAAACTAGGTGGCTTAAAGTGACAGAAATTTGTTTTCTCACAGTTCTAGAGGCCAGAAATCTGAAATCAAGGTGTTGGTAAGGCCATGCTCTCTTTGGAGGCTCCAAAGGAGAATCTTTCCTTGCCTTTTCCAGTTTCTGGTGGCTTCTGGTGGCATTCCTTGACTTATGGCTGTCTCTCTCCAATCTCTGCCTCCATGGTTACATTGTCTTCTCCTCTGTGTCTGTTCTTGCTCTTTGTATCTCTTATACAGACACTTATCATTAAATTTAAGGCCTAGCTGGATAATTCCAGATGATCTCATATCAAGATACTTAATTATGTCTACAAAGACCCTTTTTTCTAGATGAGGTAATACTCACAGGTTCCAGGAATTAGGACATAGACATATGCTTTGGGGTGCAACCATTGAACCATAAACACCATCCTAGTCCTACACCTCTCTTCCCATTTATTATTTTTTCATTGTAGTCCTCTCCCTTTTTGTCCCTCCCTTTTTCTCTTTGATTCAACAATCTGAGTACCCACAGAGAAGTTCGTTAGGTGTAGGAGGGAGTGTCTGGGTCCAGAAGTTGGAATTGCATTATCAGAAGCACATCAAGTGGCAGCCCTGTGCTGCTAGCCTAGTAAGCACTGCTAGTGGTAACGTAAGAGCAATCAGCTTATAACATAAATACGAAAATTAGAAGGCATGAATTTTCACCCATAGAATGGGTGAAAGTGTCTAGGAGGTATAAATAAGTAAGTATATGTATATATACACACACATATGTTTGAATGGTTTGTCCTGTATGTCTTCAGTTCTTAATAAGTTTACAAAAGAACAGAGCAAAATGAGAGTTCATGTTATTACAAAGTAGATTGATTTAAATAATTAAAATTTATATTGTTAATTTCTTTCACTTTTATTTGATGCTCTTAACAAAGTTTTAACATTCATTTTAAAGCTAGATATTAAAGAAGAAATTGAAGATGAAGAAAAGACCATTGAAGATTATATTGATGTGAAGATGAATGATGCTGATCCCACTTCAGTTGAAGCTGTGTACTCTGTGGCTAGTCAGTGTCTGCATGAAAAGAAAAATAAGAGACCAGACATTCAGAAGGTATTAATTTTTACACTTATTTAAAAAGTGAAGGGGGTAGAATTCATCATTTTTTCCTAAGTGTGCATTTCAAGCAAACTGTGTAATGTAGTTCTTTTTTTTTTGTATCTTTTTTCTTCTTAAAAGGTTCAACAGCTACTGCAAGAGATGGCAACTTCTTAAAACTTTATTGGAATAGATTCTTGATTTTTTGTATACATCTATCTAAAGCATTTTCTAAACTGATTTTTTTCTCAGTGTTCTTCTTTACCTTTAACAAGTCAGTATGATACAGTGCAGTGGTTATTAAAGCATGGGATGAACCTCCAACATCTACGACAAATAAAAGTAGAGTCACCATATCAACAGTTAGCCCTACCTACTTGTAACAGTCCCTGAGATGTCTTCTTTAAGCATCATCAACACAGTTTGAAAACTACAGGATTAGCAAAAGAACACGGGGCTATAGGGTGAAAAGACCCTGTTCTGAAGCCCAACTGACTCCACTACTAATTTGCTGTAAAGCTTCCAGCAAACTCTTAGCTGCTTTGAGCCTTGGTTTTTCTCACCTGTAACATTGGACTAGTATCTGCGGTGCCTGTCTGATAGGTAGTCATGAAAATCAAATGATGCAGAATTTATACAAGCACTTTTTAAACTATAAGGTGATGTAAAATGTAAAGTTTATAGAAGCAACTATAAAATCCTATTTCAGTTGTGTATTTATAGGATCATGTTCACAGTATGTTATTTTATACAGTCATTCACCACAAACCAAATGTAGAGATATTCCCGTGATGATATGGCCATTATTAGATTATGTTACATGGAAAAGCTGAAGGAATTTTGCAAATGCAATTAAGGTCTCTAATCAGCTGACTGAGTATCAGAAGGGAGACTGTGTTGAATGGGCCTGACTTCATCAGGTGAACTCTTACAAGAAGTCAGAGAGATTATCCTGTGGGCCTTGAAGAAGTAAGAACCATGCTGTGAGAGGGCCACATTGTCTAAAGTCTAAGGGTGGCCTCTAGGAGATGAGAGCTACCTTCAAACTGTCACCTGGCAGGGAAAAAATGGGTCCTCAGTTGTACAACCACAAGGAACTGATTTCTGCCAACAACCTGAATGAACTTAGGAGAGTGCTCCAAGGTTCAAATGATACCATAGCCTGGGCTGACACCTAGATTTCAGCTTTGTGAAACCCTCAGTATGAGGATCTGTCTGAGCTGTGCCTGGACTTCTGAGATACAGAACTATGAGATAATAAATGGGTTGCATTAAACCACTAAATTTATGGTAATTTATCATGCAGCAACAGAAAGTGAATACCAATACTGCCATGATGATTCTCCCATGATGATTTCCTATCATGTTTATGAGTTCTGCCCACACTCAAGGGGTGTGTGGAAATTTTAAAGAGTATATATACCAGGGGATTGTAGTGTACTGATTTTCACTGGATTTCTCTTTTCATCATTCCCAGTCTTGTAGTTTGCTTGTTTTTCCATAGAGAATGAGAGATCTCTGGATAGCAGTGGCAAATTGATTTTTTAAAATGATTTTTACCTATTTTAAGTTTAAAATTCATAGTTTGTTTATATTATTTACAAACTTATTTTCCAGCTTTGCATGAGCAAAAGGAAGGAATTTTCTTAAGTATCAGAACTGGTTGATAGAAAAACTATTATGTGTAGAAGGAATACCTAGTGTGTATTATTATTCATTCATTAAATAACCTCTATGTCATAAGTTCTTTCATTAACACACCCAGAACAAGAGTATGTAAAGAGAGCTGTAGCAAAAAGTGATCATCCTCTATAATGTACTGTTTAGACCTTCCTAAATGCTTTCCTGGGAAATAAAGATTGTACACCTTTCAAATCACCTTTATAAATTAAATATTTAAACACAAAGAAGCATTTGCTAATTGAAAAGGAAAATAAATAAAATGACTTAGTCCAAATTAATCTCAACAGGAACCCACATAATTTGAGACAGTATGATGTTATAAACCACGGTGTTATAAAGGATAATTATAAACCATGGTGTTATAGATGATAATTATATTATATTAAAATGTAATGAAAATTTAACTTTCTTGAAATTAAAGCATATATGTAAAGTAGTATGTATGTAGCTGTGATTATGGATTATGACCAAACCTTATTAAAGTTTAAGTAAGTAAACCATTTCATGGCTTTTGAAAATTTCACAATATAATTTGATAGATGTTTCCATTTTATCAAATGGAGTTGTTATCAGTCTTACCAAAATTAGCCCTTGCTTCCCTGTCAGGAAGATTGAACCTTAACTCTTTTGAAGGCAGAAGAAATACAAGTACATTCAAGATACCAGAGCAAGTATTAACCACACTGTTTCTTCCCTTTGCCTGATGGTGTCTGATCCATCATGGGCCCCTGAGCTTGTGTGACTCACTTAACTATGGGAATGAACAGCGGAGTGATTGCCCTCAGCTTGCACTGAACATGACTTCATGCAAAAGTTCTAAGGAGAATAATGTACAGGCCCCTTTTACTGTTTCCCTCAAGGCTGAAATTGAGGGCCTATGGTGACATCTAGTTGAAACTTTTTTTTTAAAACTTCATTTGAAATATGCTTTCTACTAATCTTATATAGAAACAGAAAAAAAATTAAACAGGAGTTTTGAAAAAAACTTTTGACAGAGGCTTTGCAAACTTTGATACTTTAATGTTGCCTCCAACAACTGATTGTGCTAACCACTGAGTAATGGCAGTATGGTTGAGAACCACTGGTCTACCCCATTTCCATAAAGAACAATCATCTTTCTTCCCACATTTCTGACCGATTGGCTTGCTAGTTGGCTAACTAAAATTTTTTCATTCGAATTTATCCCAGCTGAACGTGTTCTTTGAGGAACAAGAAAGTGTTAGGAATACTTAGTCAGTATTTTGCTTTTCTGTCATAATGATTAAGGAAAATTTAAGACTTTCTAAAGCATTTATTGCTCTGATGAAATTAGGAAAAATCACTGTATTAAATACTTCTAAGATAAAAATTAGTAAATTAATTCAACATATATTTATTAATCATTTTCTATGGTCTAGGCACTTACAAAAGCAATGGACATATAATTATGACCAGTACAGACAAAGTCCTTTTTCTCTAGTAGCTTGTTCTCAGCAGAAAGTCTATTCAAATGGAGATAATACACAAGTAAGTAAGACAATATCAGGTAGTCATAAGTACTATGAAAACATTAAAATTATGTTTGTGAATAGAGAGAAATTCACTTGGCAAAGAAACTTTGGCAATACCCAAACTCAAAAACAGGCAACAAGTGTATAGTCTTAGAGAGGAGTGACTAGAATGTACCGTAACTTAGAAAAAAAATAAAAAACATAAACTGAATTAAGTTTTATTTATGTTTAAGGCCTGCTATCAGAAGGCTTTTGGGTCAGGAATGAGCTAAGAATAAGACTTCATCCCTAAGTTTCTACTACTATCCTGAGAAAAGAGTATTATGTTCCAGAATATGTGACATATTTGCCTCTACTGGCTATCTATGCCTCAGGGCATCAGGGCAGTTTGGTGAAGATAGTTGTTAAGGTTATCTAACCTGTTCACCTTGCATTAACTCACTGCTTATCTAGCAACCTTCTCTTTTCATTTTAATTTCTTGCCTGGATTTGCCTTTTAGAAAATAATGCACAGTGACAGACCATTACAACTTACATAACTTGTTTCTATTGCAGCATCTCTTGTAAAGAGTAGTAAATCACATTCTGATTTATATCTGTCTCCTGAAAGTTTAAGTAGCATGAATTAATTCATCTCAGGCTGCCTGCAGTGCTGAGATCCAAACCCTTTGGATTGTGAATAACCCTTTCTTCTGCTATAGCCATTTTAATATCCAGATTGTGTCTCCCTAGATGCTGTCTTCATCTCTTTTAAGAATTAAAAATGTAAACAAAGTACTACATCCTATTTCCTCCTCCCCTTTATAAAATGTCAAAGTAATGACAGAGTTTTTATTATAAAGAAATGCATACTCCTACGTATACTTAAGAGGAAGACTAGCATCCTTCTTTATAGTGATAACAGAGTTTACTATTATGTTAGTGAATGGCCGTAAAGATATGTTGGGGGCCAGCCCGGTGGCACACTCAGTAGAGTGCGGCGCTTGGGAGCGCAGCGGTGCTCCCGCCAAGGGTTCGGATCCCATATGGAGACCGGTCCGCTCACTGGTTGAGCGCGGTGCGGGTGCAACACCGAGGGTTGCGATCCCGTTGCCGGTCGCAGTATGGGCACGACATCGAGGGTTGCGATCCCGTTACCGGTCACGAAAAAAGACAAAAAGGAAAAAAAAAAAAGATATGTTGGAATATTGACCAATTGTTGTTAAACAAACAAACAAAGAAAGAAAAAACCCACCTCATATCACTTCCATTGATGTCTTTCTTTGAATAGCTATTCCTAAATCAATTTAATCAATTTATGAGTTAGTGGCAGGAACATGCTATTGCCTACTTACTCTGCTACACAGATTAGGAAGCACTGCCACATCAAGGTTCTTTCCTGGCCAAGGAAGCTCAGTGAATAACATCTGCCCTTAGATATCTGGAAAATGACAAAGGATCTCTGAAAATTTGCCCTTCCATGAAAGCAATGAAAAAACTGTCAGAATTGACTTTTTCAGAACCAGAAACTAAACAAAGGTGTGCAGCAACCCAGGGAGACTGTATTAAAGAAAAGTGGCTGAATCTCAGTAGGAACAAGCTTTGTGGCATTTTTAACTTATCCAAGTCCCATGCCCTGCTCGCCTGCTCAGCAGTAGCCTTGAAAAATAATAGCCCACATCCCAGGTACCGGAGAAAGTAAAATAGAGCTGAAGCTCTTTCAAGGCCTCATTCTGAAGAATTATAATTTCACCTGTCTGATGGTTCAGTGTAAGACCCAACTCAAAGACTTGTCTTTATTTGAACTGACTAAAGCTCACCCAATACTGAAAGCCTCTCCATGAAGGATGTTTGTCAGAAATATTTACTGAAATGTGTTTTAATCACAGCTACTTGAAGTAATGTGTAATAGTTGGCACAAACAATAGGCTAACCAAAAAGCTTAAAAGAAACAACTGAGGAATAGGATGTCCAATGTGGCTCGGAAAAACTCCAACACATTCCCAGGAACCTAGAAAGCCACACATATATAAGGCCGTTCACATGCTAAGGGAAAAACTGAGAATCCCCTAAGTTCTGACCTCTGGCTGACCTTGGGCCTCTGTGCAAGCAGGAAGTGAAGGCTAAGGCAGCATGTAAACTGTCTGGCTGACAGTGGAAGGTGTGTCTTGATATGCACACAGAGTACCTGGTGAAGATGAGGAGATTTATTAGTTGTAGATGTTTGAGGAAATCTCTGTCCATTTATTAGCTGATGACTATTCTAACTGAGTAGAGACTTCAGGCTCCATAACAAAGAATATGGACTTTACAGAATTAGTTCACGAAGGCCACTAAACAAAAAACAACTAAAACAGTCAGCAACAGGAAACCCTGGAGAGGGGAGAGAATTTAATTCTCAGAGTTGCCACATTATTTTATTTAAAATGCCCAGTTTTCAGCAAAAGTATACTAGATATGCGATGAAACTAGAAAGTATGGCCTATACCTGAAGATGGGAGTACAGTCAATAGAAACTGTATCTGAAAAAACCCAGATGTTAGACTTATTACCCAAAGTCTTTAAATAAGATATCTTAAATATGTTCAAAGAACTAAAGGAAATCATAACTAAAGAAGTAAAGGAGAGTGCAAGAATGATGTCTTACCAAATAGAGAATATCAATAAAGATAGAAATTATAAAAAGGAACTAAACAGAAATCCAGAAGTTGAAAGGTACAGTAACTGGAATATAAAATTCACTAGAGGGTCTTACCAACAGATTTGAGCAGGCAGAAAAAAGAATCAACAAAATTTGAAAATAAATTAATTGAGGAGCAGAAAGAAAAAAGAATGAAGAAAGATGAACTAAACCTCAGAGACCTGTGGTACACCATCAAGCTTACTAACATACATATAATGAGAATTGCAAACAGAGAGGTGAGAAATGAATAGAAAGAATTTTTGAAGAAATAGTGGCCAAAATTTCCCCAATTTAATGAAAAACATTAATTGACACAGTCAAGAAGCTAACTGCAAGTAAGATAAACTCAGAGATTTATAACTTGACACATAATCAAAGAGGAAGAACCTTAAAAGCAGCAAGAAAGAAGTGACTCAGCAGGTATAGTGATTCCAAAAAGAATAATAGCTGATTTCTCATCAGAAAATATTGAAAACAGAAGACAATGGAATAGCATGCTTAAAGTGCCAAAAGTGTCAACTACTAATTCCAGCAAAGCTATCCTTCAAAAATGGAAAAAAAACAAAAAAAAAACAAAAAAAGGCATTCCCAGATTTTTTTAAAAATTGAGAGAATTTGTAACTAGAAAATCTGCCTTATAGGAAAGGAGGGAGTCCTTCAAGCTTAAATGAAAGGATACTAGATAGTAACTCAAATCTACAGAAAGAAATAAAAAGCACTGGTAAAAGTAACTACATAGGTAAATATAAAATACAATATAAATATATTTTTTGTTTTCCACTTTTTTCTCCTGTCTTCTTTAAAGGTAAATGCACTCTAATCTCCAATCTCTACCTCCATCTTAACATCACCTCCTCATATCTGTAGTCAAATCTCCCCATGACTTGCTATTACAAGAATACATGTAATTGTATTTTACATGTATAATCCAGGATAATTTCATCTCAAAATTCTTAACTTAATCACATTTACAAAGACCTGCTTACCAAAGAAGTTAATATCTACAGGTTCCAGGGAATAAGACAAGTCTCAATAAAGTTCAAAGTATTAAAGTTATATAAAGTATGTACTTCAACCACCACAGAATGATATTAGAAGTTATTAACAGAACAAAATGGGGAAATTGAACAACTCACTTAAATAGCCAATGAATCAAGAAGATATCACAAGACAAATTAGAAAATACTTTGAGATGAATAAAAAACACAACAACAAAATGTATGGGATGCATCAAAAAAAGTGTTTAAAGCAGACACAAAAATCTTTAAAAATATTCTAGCAAACTAAATCAAGCAATATATAAAAAGGATTATATACCAAATTCAGGTAGAATTTATCCCAGGAATGC